CTTGAATATTCTTTTCTCAAATCCTCAGATCTTCATATGGCTGATTCTTTCTCATCATTCAGGCCTAAGGCCAGATATCACCAAGAGATCTCCTCTGATCACCAAGTCTCATGTTGTGTCCCCCCCAGACCCCAACACTGTCACTCTCTAGCATGTTACTTGGTCTTACTTTCTTTCTACCACTTACCACTATCTGAAATTAGAGTATTTATTTATTTACTTCCAGAACAGTTGCCTCCTTTAACAGAATAATAACCCCCATAACAGAAGGAATCTCGTCTACCCTGCTTATGTCTGTACTGTCACCTTCTAAAACAGGGCCTGGCAGGATGTAGGCACTCAATAAATATTTGACAAATGAAAAAACTGGTGTTTTGAAGCCTGTCCTGGAACAACTGAGCTGTGTCATAGTGTCCATAAACATAAAATCACCAAACAAGATTTAAAGTTTTAAGGTGTTCCCGCAAAAGTTTAACATCCAGGTCCTAAATTTTGCACTTCCAGAAAATTCTGGAACATTATAAAGTGGTTCAAAACACAGAGCATATTTTAATCTTAGTTTCATACTTCCTATGTGACCTTGGATAAGTCAGTTAACATATTAAAACTGATTTCCTCATCTAAAAAAGTAAGAATAATAACACATTCATTAGACGGTTTTGTGAGAAATAAATGAGCTAAACATTTAGCCCAGTTCCTGGAACATTGTGCATACTTAATAAATGGTGGCTATTATTGTTATGGTTATTGTTATTACAGTAATTAATCCCGGCACCATACTTTACAAAGAACATTGACAAATTGGAGCTTATCCAAAGGAGAACAAACAGTCTTGTGAAGGGTCTGGAAACCGCAACTTGTGAGGAACAATTGAAATTGCTGAGGATGTTTACCTTGGAAAACACAAATTTTAAGAGGAACATGATACCTTTCTTTCAAAACACTGAAAAGAACTGTCTCATGGAAGAGGGATTAGATTTAGTCAATGCTGTTCTAGAAAATACAATGAGAGCCAAGAAGGGAAAGTTAAATCTTGAACTCTTTATAATCTAATAACCAAACTGTCTGAACCAAAATAGGATCGAATGCTACTTATAAAACTAAAAAAGAGGCATGGTTATATACATTTTGGTTAAGGAAATTATATATGAAGCCATTTACAATGAGCACAACGAAGACTTTGTATCAATATAAAAAATATGTTTGGCATATAAATTGCAAAAAGGAGACTGAAACATGCATATATGCTGTGATCCCAATTCTGTTTTTATGAGGGAGGAGAATACAAGCACAAGCACACACAAATGAAATGTGTGCTGCTTCATGCAGTAGCGTGTCCTGTCGCTCCAAATGTTGGAGCAGAGGCCAGACAACCTCTTAGAAGAAAGGGCATTCAAGAAGAGATGTGTCAGAGAAAGGGCTGGGCAAGGAGCGCCCTGGAAAGGATCTGAAAGTTCCATGGGTCTGTGACCCTATGAAATTTATTGTTGAATTGTGGTAATACAAAATAGGGCTTTTTTTTTCTTTAAGGAATAAAGAGGCTCCTTCAAATATCTTCATTTTCTCCCAGTTAAAATAGGCAAAAAATATTCAGTCCTAAGAGACCCAAAGTACTGGGCTCTGTGGACTAATAAGGACATTGCAGCAACAGATAGTAGACGCGAGTGGCCACTATTTCTCTTCTGCCCTAGAAAAAGCCTGTCAACCTCTCTGAATCTCATATGCTGGATCCTTCCCTGAAAAGGAAGAAGTTGCATGCTTTCTAGGTCTGAAAGTATGTGATTCATCTTGATTATTTTGTTTGATACAGACTTGGCCAAGAATTAAAAGCCACGTGAACTTTGTAAATAAGGAATGTCCAAGAACACCAACAAAGGAATAACTTTAGCTGAATTTTGGTCCAAAAGTCAAGGAGCATCCTTATTTCCCTGCCAGGTTCAAAAAGTAATAACTAATTCCTTTTCTAATTCAGTGTGTGAGAAGTTGACCTCTAAGAGACAGGCATCCATGAATAGGGTATTCTAGTAACGTCTCTTTGTTCTGTACATAAAATGACATTATGTAGTCACCCACATTAGCTTGTTAGCGTTTGGTGATAAAGGCATTCTTTTTCACTGTTGTTAACAAGTACTAGACAGAGCTTTCAGACTGTCTACATCCTAGAAGGACCAGTAGAAAGAGGATTGCCATTTTCAAGCACTGAGGATGATGTCTGATCTTCCGTTGAGGTCAACCTACCTCCCTTTTATACCTCAGATTATCTACGGTGGTGGCAAAAATGTACTTTTACTTTCACACTCAGTGAACTAAGAGAATGCACTTCTTGAAATAGAGATATTACAAAGTAGTGAGTCCAAAGAATTTCTGAAGATGACATAAAAGTTACAGTTATAAAGAACAGAGAACAGTTTCATTCTCTTCAAGCCTTTGGTTATAATTCATATAGATTATCTTGTGGGAATGGAACAAAGTCAATCTTGCTGTTCCATGCTGTCTCAGTGAGAGTTCTGACTTTTATATTTCAGATAAAGAAAGCATTGCCAAGTGCCAATGGTCAGGAAGCCCGTGCCTCCATGCCCAGAATTGCCCTGGAGTTCTCAACACAATGACTTTAGGCTCAAATGATTATCATCCGAATATAAGATAGTTTCTTTTTTCTTCCAGAATTTAGATTTTTGAATTGTTAATTTTACAAAAAATTGAACTGAAATTCACATTATATAAAATCAACCATTATAAAGTGAACAATTCCACAATTTAGTACATTCCCCATTTCCCCCTTCCTCCAGTCCCCGGCAACTACCAATCTGTTTTCTGTATCTATGGATTTACCTATTCTGGATATTTCACAGAAATGGAATCATACAATATATGACCTTTTGGTTTGGGGAAGAGAGACTTTTACTCATCCTCAAGTATATACTTTAGGAAGGAACCACATTTGTATAAGGAAATATACAAACATTATCATAACAATTTACCTAAACAAACATTTTATTAAGACCTGGCATTTATAAAACATCTGAAGTGCTTTTAGGAGCATAGTGACACAAAATGCCTATTAGCTGTCTTTGTACTCAAAACACCCACAGATTGGGAAGAGGGTGACAGAGAAAGGACACTGGGAGCCAAACAAGAGAGGCCACTTTTTTTTTTAGCAAAGAGGAGAAACATGACAAAGAAAGGAAGCTTGGAGCTTTGAAGTCCTTCCTGTCCACATTGAGGAACGGTGTATTAGTTAGAATTCTTGGTTGCAAAGTTTCAGAAATTCAATGGGATTATATTAACCCAAAACGGGAAAAATTTATTATGGTGAAGCAGGCATGGCTTGTGACACATGGTAGTAGAACAGGGCCGACACTCAAAAGAGAAGCTCAGGAATCTCCCTCTCTCGTGTTGGTTCCTACATGCGCTTTAAGTGCCAATTTATTCTTTGCTCTATGCTCCTGTGGGCAAAAGATGGCCATCCCACAGTTCCCAAGATTCTATCTTCTCTGTTTAAGAGAAATCGTACTCATGGAAGCGAAGATCACGGGCTCCAGAGTCAGACTGAGGTAAGTGTAAATCCTAACTCTGCTATTTAGGCTGTGTGACATTGGACGAGTCATTTAAGCTCTCTGATGTCAGTTTCATCAGTAGTAATAGTTACCTCATAAAGTTAATGAGAAATTTAACTGAGGGAACATATTTAAAGATCACTATCATATAAATCTTCATATAAATAAATATTATTTATTACTACTTTTGTTATTATTAAATTATTATTTTTATTACTATTATTAAAGAAGCCAGCCCTGAGTGGGTTTTGGTCACAAATCCAGATTTCTAGGAAAGAGACTCTGGCTGATCTAACTTGGGTCTGGTGCTCATCTCTACTCCATCAGTTACAGCCAGAAGGTACAGTCACAACTGAGAGAGATGGCTACCAGCAAGGAGAATATGAGCTACAGAACCCAAGAAAAAAGATGCCAGGAATTAGAGAGAAGGGGTATGGAGAGAAAAGCTGCCCAGCAGGCAGCTGCCCGTGGAACCCAGCCCACAGAAGGAGAAACGTGTTGCAGGCTTCTGACCCTAGCTTCTGGGACTCTCTTGGGTTGGTCTTTGGAATGTGGGCTACTGCTTATTTAATTCAGCTGGTGTTGATAAGCCAACCTCCTGGGCTTTGAAATTCATGTTTACTTCTGCTTCTTCTTTGGGATTTTTTTTTTTTTTAGCACTTTAGCTTGCTTGGGTTATTCTTTTATTCTCGCTGACCTTTAGTTTTAAATTTTATCTTAATTGCTCTTAGCTCCTGGTTTGCTTGCTGCCTTCCAATTTCTTTCATGTTTTTCATTTTCAGGGGTGGGGCGGAGAAGGGGTAAATTATTTCACCTAGTTTCCAGTATTATTTAATCTTTATTTAACTATTCTATCTTATTTTTTATTCTAAGTTTCACTGTTACTTTTAAACTTTTTATTGTCTATAATTTTTGTTCCCAGAAATACTTCCAGTAATACGTATTCTTTACTTCCTGTAAAAACATGTAGGCTGATGGGTATTCATTTCCATTTACCATTTCAGTCATCCTATAGGGGTTCTCAACCCCTGAGGCTGATCTTTATAAAAGTCTTACAGCAACCCATGTAATTCCCCCTTACAGGTCTCCTCTGCTGAGGGATTTACCTCAGGCTCTTTCTCACCATACTTTATTTCCATAAATAAAGGGAGAACTTGTCTCCCATCAGCAGACTGAGAGGCAGGGAGCCGTCCTTCCCTGGAGAACTGAAAGCCTGCAGCTGTGCCAAAGAATTGGTGAAATAGGATGTACTTTTTCCAGTTGAACGAGACCTTCTCCCACAAGGGAGCTGTAGGATTTAGTCCCAGGACTCCTCTATTCTCTGTCCACATTTAGTCCCTGGTTGATCTCTTAGATGCCATCCACATGCTGATGACTCCTAAGTCTGTATCTTCAGAACCCAACCTCTCTCCTGAACTCCATAAAGATAACTTTCCACATGACACTCTCTTCAGCAAATGCTGTTAGGAAAACTGGACAGCAACATGCAGAAGAATGAAACTGGACCGCTTTCTTACATCATACACAAAAATAAACTCAAAATAGAGGAAAGACCTAAATATAAGACAGGAAACCATCAAAATTCTAGAGGAGAAAACAGGCAACCACCTTTTTGAATTCAGCAACAGCAACTTCTTACTAGACATGTCTCCTGAGGCAAGAGAAACAGAAGCAAAAGTGAACTATTGGGATCTCATCAAGATAAAAATCTTCTGCACAGAAAAGGAGACAAAAAGGCAACTGATAGAAGGGGAGAAGATATTTACATATGACATATCTGATAAAGGGTTAGTATCCAAAATCTATAAAGAACTTACCACACTCAACACCCAAAAAACAAATAATCGAGTGAAGGGAAAAATACACGAACAGACACTTCCAAAGACATCCAGGTGACTAACAGATACTTGAAAAGATGGTCAATAACATCAGGGAAATACAAATCAAAACCACAATGAAATACCACCTCACACCTGTCAGAATGGCTAACATTAACAACTTAGGCAACAACAAACGTTGGTGAGGCTGCAGAGAAAGGGAAATACTTTTGCACTGCTGGTGGGAATGCAAACTGGCGCAGCCACTCTGGAAAACAGTGTGGGGGTTCCTCAAAAAATTAAGAATAGAATTACCCTATGACCCAGCAATTGCACTACTAGGTATTTATCCAAAGGACACAGGAGTGCTGATTCGAAGGGGCATATGCACCCCAATGTTTCTATCAGCACTATTGATAACAGCCAAATTATGGAAAGAACACAACTGTCCATCAACTGATGAATGGATAAAGAAGATGTGGTATACACACACACACACACACACACACACACACACACACACACACAATGGAATATTACTTAGCAATCAAAAAGAATGGAATCTTGCCACTTGCAACAAATGGATGGAACTAGAGTGTATTATGCTAAGCAAAATGAGTCAGACAAATATAATGTGATTTCACTCATATGTGGAATTTAAGAAACACAACAGATGGCCATAGGGGAAAGGAAGGAAAAATAAGATAAAAACAGAGATGGAGGCAAATGATTAGAGACTCTTAAATACAGAGAACAAACTGAGGGTTGCTGGAGGGGTATTGGGTGGGAGAATGGCTAAATGGGCGATGGGCATTAAGGAGGGCACTTGTTGGGAGGAGTACTGGGTGTTATATGTATGTAAGTGATGAATCACTAAATTCTACTCCAGAAACCATTATTACACTATATGTTAACTAACTTGGATTTAAATTAAATAATAATAATAATAAAGGGCACATTCAATGAAAAAAAAAAGCTAACTTCCCATCTGAAATCTCAATTTACTGTCCAAAAGATATCTCAATCACAGCATGTCCAAAACCAAACTACTGATCTTCCCCCTGGCGGAACCAGCTCCTCTCAAAGTCTTCCCCATTCTCCTAGTCATCTAGGCCCCAAATCTAGCAGGTGTCTTTTACTACTCCTTTTTTTTTTAATAGCCCATATCCAATTAATCAGAGAATCCTGTTGGTTCTACTTTAAACTTCCACCACTTCTCATAGCGGGGGTGGTATTGCAGTAGTCTATTTACTGGTCTCTCTCTTTCCATCCCTGCCTCCTAAATTCTACTCCTTACATAACAGCTAGAGTGATCCTTTAGAAATAGTTGTCAGGCCATATTATTCCTCTGAGAACTCCAGTATGTCCCTCTCGTACTGAGACTAAAAGCTTTCATTCTGACTATGAGCTACAGGGTTACACATGATCTGCCCCACCATCTAACTCTTTACCTCTCAGCTACCTACCTAACCTTGTCTCTTACCATGTCCCCCTGGTTCATTCTATTCTATCTCTGCTGACTTCCTTGCTGTTCCTCCAATACCAATCATGCTCCCACTACAGGTTTTTGTGTTTGTTCTTCCATCCTCCTGAACTCCTTTCCACCAGATATTCATATGGTTTAATCCCTCAGTTCCTTTGGGAACTTTATCATCCTGCATGAGAGAGTATTTACCTCACTATTCTATCCCCCTTCTCTACTTTATTATTTTCTTCATTGTGCTTGTTGCCATCTGTCACAATTGGTTACTGTCTACCTTTATTTAACTGTAAGCTGCACAAAAAGAAAGGATATTCTTTTCAATTTGCTCACTGCTATATCTCTAATATCTAGAATAATTCCTGGTACTAGAAAATGCTCAAGGATTGTTTGAAAACTTATTGAATGATTAAATAAATGAGTTGACAAATCCTAGTATTATAATTCAAGCAATATTTTCAAATATGTGGGGGAGGGGCAGTTAATATTGGAAAGGGGAGAAAACAAAAGTAAAAAAGTAAAAAGAAAGACATCAACTGTTGATTGAACTCCACCTGTATGTCAGGCAGTGTTAGATGTCACTTTTGTGTTATTTATTTTAATAATAAATTTTGTAAGATAAATGACACTGTTTTTCAACTCTAGTAGCTTCTCTGAAACTTCTCTCCCATTATATATTATCTTTTCACTCAAGCTGTAGTCCTATTTACCTGCAAGAGACATAGCCTTTAGAAAATAAGTCTGCTAATCTTGATATTGTATGTTTTTCCCTTTGTCTATAGGAAAACAATGTGGCAGGTAAAGGTGGACTGACCATATTTATCAAGGTGAATTCAAAATAAAATGTGAACCATGGAAAAGCATACAAAATATTATGGGTTCATAATGAAAGAAGGAATTAACCTCAATATGTGTACTTAAGATAGATTATAATAAGAAGGTAGCATTTGATCTGGACCTCAAAGAATTGACAAGCTTTGTAAACTCAGAAGTCTGATATAAGGCAAGATATAGTATAAGGAAGGAAAAGAACTGTAAAGTGCATAGTGTGCACAAAACCTTTCAGTAAATGTGGTAGGCAGCTTCCAAGATGGCCCTCAGTGATCCTCACCTCCTGTGATTTATGCCATTGTATTATCCTTTCCACTTGAATGTGATAGGACCAATGACTTACTTCTAGCCTACAGAATGTGGCAAAGGTGAGTGGGAAGTCACTTCCATGATTAGGTTACAGAAGACTATGACTTCTGTCTTGGTAGCAGATTCTCTCTATTGCCTTCTCAGCTTGTATGCTTTGATGAAACAAACTTTCATATCGGAGAAGTCCATGTGGCAAGAAACCGTGCCACACGGAGAAGCCCATGGGGCAGGTCTCTAGCCAAGAGACAGCAACAAACCAAGGCTCTCAGTCCAGCAGCATTCCCCAGTCAAGCCTTCAGATGAGGTCTCAGTCCTCACTGACACTTTAATTCCAGTCTTGTGGGAGACCCTCACTTACAGGACCCAATGAAGCCATACCATGATTTCTGATTCACAGAAACTATGAAATAATAAATGTTGCTTTAAGCTGCTAAGTTTTGTGGTACTTTGCTAAATAGCAACAAATAACTAATTCAGCAAGGGACAAATGAAAATTTGAATTTTCCCCCAAATATTTTTTGTAACAAATCTTCTAATTTGTAATACAAGAATTTATTTAATACATATTTATGATGAGTCTTCTTTATGAAATTTCTGTTGTTATAGTTACTCTAAAGCCTGGAAAGATCAACACCCTCAAAGACTACCCTCAAGAATCCTAGTGCATATAGGTATGATGTGCTCACAAATAACTGTACAAAAGGCAGACAGTGCTAATCCACCATGAGTAGCAGGAGATGATCCATCCAGAACTCCTGGTTAGGGGTATTTGAGCTGGATCATAAATAAGTTGGGCCTACAGAGATAGGCAATAGACTGTATATAAACAAATACATGGAAGTGAGGATTATGGGGAATGTACAACAGACAATAAACAGCTCCTCTTGTTTACAGAATAGGACACATTCAGGATACAGGGGACATGCAGGTAAACAGATATGGAGAAGTAGTAGGCTTGGACCATAATGCAAAGTTCTTTAAACACTGGGTGAAGGGGTAAGACTTGGTACATTTTTGGAACATTTATTCAAACTCCATTGCCAAAAACACTGCAGTTCCAAGTTCCTTTATGAAACTTTCCTCATTCCATAGTCAATACTTTAAAATATTGGGCCCAGGGTAAAAACTTCCTGTATTTCTATAATATCCCAATTCATTCAAGATCACTTATCCATTGAGTCTTTCTGAAATGAATGGCTCACTGCATTTTATAATGCAATTTGAAGTCCTATCCCTGAAACTGAGAGATTAATACCATCACTAAAGTGTTGTATGCATTTTTACTAAGTATGAATTATTTTGGTCAATATCTTTTTTGTTTCCAGTATAAAAAACTCTTCCAACTATTTTCCCCCCAAATGTCACTTACTTTAAGCATTCCCATATATTCATCAGGATTTGGAGGTAGGCCACATAGCTACAAAATACGTATTTATGTCTAATTTGTACACCGCTTTTGCATGTAATTTAATCAAAGGTGGCTGAAATGACACTTGATTATAGACAATTTTCACTCGCATATTTACTAGCATTCAATCACTTCGAAAATCCATTCCAAACATCTTGAAATTAATCTTCACTAGAGGCTCTCTCTCCATCATCTCTGCTAGTTACAAAATTCTTTGTAGAGGTTCTCAATGTGCTTCAAAAGCTTTCTTCTCGTAACAGAAAGACAAATAAGGAAACTGATCCCATTCACAATTGCACCAAGAAGCATAAAATACCTAGGAATAAATCTAACCAAAGATGTAAAGGATCTGTATGCTGAAAACTATAGAAAGCTTATGAAGGTAATTGAAGAAGATTTAAAGAAATGGAAAGACATTCCCTGCTCATGGATTGGAAGAATAAATATTGTCAAAATGTCAATACTACCCAAAGCTATCTACACATTCAATGCAATCCCAATCAAAATTGCACCAGCATTCTTCTCGAAACTAGAACAAGCAATCCTAAAATTCATATGGAACCACAAAATGCCCCGAATAGCCAAAGTAATTTTGAAGAAGAAGACCAAAGCAGGAGGCATCACAATCCCAGACTTTAGCCTCTACTACAAAGCTGTCATCATCAAGACAGCATGGTATTGGCACAAACACAGACACATAGACCAATGGAATAGAATAGAAACCCCAGAA